TTTTTATAATATAAACGCCTTAGTAACTTTATACAGTGTGATTTTTTAAGTGTGCAACATATGGGGATTTTTTTTAGTAATATCACAACTCAAATACAAACAAGGCCAAAAGTTGGTACATGTCTGATAATCATATTAGGTGCACTTAGAATGGTTGCAAGTCAAACAGCACACAGGGTAGCTCAAACAATATCAAAATTGTAGTACTATTTACTTAAAAAAACAAAAAGTTGTATTTTATTTAAGGTAACATTAGTACAATTTTGATAGTTTTTGAGCTACCCTGTATGCTGTTTGACTTGCAACCATTCTAAGTGCACCTAATATGATTATCAGACATGCACCATCTTTTGGCCTTGTTTGTCTTGGATTGTGCTATTACTAAAAAAAATTCCCATATCATGCACACTTGAAAAATCACAATGTATAATTAAAAATTCCAATCAAATTTTATCTCCGGTTAAATTTAAAGTTGGTGTCAAATGATAGTGTATGAAAATCTAAGAATGTAAAATCGGTTTTCCTCTAACATTAACAGTTTAGGTTTTATAGCCTGTCAAAGTTGCAAAAAGTAAATTTTCAACTGTCAATATTTCCAAAACAGTTGAACCTATTATCTATTCACAATCCGATGTCCAAAGGTAAAGGTAAAATTTATCACCTTTCAGTGCTACTTGATAGGGAAAGGTGATAAATTTACCTTTACCTTTGGACTACGGATTGTGAATAGGATATAGTCAGTGTTGCCAACAGTATTTTTAGCTTCCTAGATATAGGAAGCTATGGTGATAGCCCGATTTTGAACATGTCAAAATTTCATTAAATCTTGACGTTTTGGATCATTTTAAGCCTTTTTGGCAAGGTGGCACATTTCCGTCTGTGTGTATGTATGTATGTATGTATGTATGTGTGTGTGTGTGTTGGCATTTTTCTGAGAAAACGGCTCGATGGAATTTGATGAAATTTTGGAAATAGGTATAAGAAGATGTGTAGGGAAAAGTTACGCAGAGATATAGGAAAAAAAATTATTCCTCTTCAAGATATGACGTTATTGATCTTTTTTTTAAATGGGAACGCCATCTTTTTTTTCATTGATTGGTTAGAGCTCATTTTGCTTTATATAATACAAAAAAAAAAAAAAAAAAAAATTAAAAAAAAAAAAAAATTAAAAAAAAAAAAATCTCAAAAATCAAATTGAAAAATTGAAAAAAAAATTATATTGAAACCTGAAAAAATGTCAAGACCTATTAAAATGAAGTCATGGTTTGAAATAACAATCATTAATTAGGTAGTTATTTGTCTAGGAAGCGTTATGTCAAAAATTTGACATCTGGTTTTAATTCCGTCAACTTTGCTGTAGATTTTCGTCAAAAATCCGTTAAACCATTTTTTTTCCGTCAATAAAATCCGTCAGAATGAAACATGCGAAATGCGCTAAACAAATAAAATTTATTCAGTAGTGCCAACTAAATAATGCAGAGTTAACGACATTGACGGCAGTGCCATTTGACTTTAGGCATTTTTTGAAACACTGATCCGTTTCACCCGATCACAAGTGTTTGTATTTTATCTTTTTTCAATGAACACCAATGAAAAAAGACAGATAATATCAGCTGGTGATCGGGCTAGTAGGATCAACGTTTACGTAAAGGCTTGTTTACAGACCAAAAGTAGCTTGAATCGCTAAACAACCAGTTTATTACATTTACAGAACATAATTTAGAATTTTTAAATGGAAACTTTGTTCCCGTTAAAAAATCCGTCATCCGTTGAAACTGTTTGTTTTCCATTTCCCTCCACCAAAATCCGTTAGATATGACGGGAAATCCGCTAAGTTGGCAACTCTGGATATAGTAGTTATAGGGTACCATCGTCACCAAAAGTAACTGGGACAGCATCACATTAGCTCTTGTCCTATTATATGAATTTTATTGTCAAATATTTGTCAAACTGTGAACTGAATGCATTGAAATGAATGACAGTAGAATTAGTCCAGGAGATTATTATGCATTATTTGTGTCCCAGATACTTTTGGTGACGATGATACATCACATAAAATCTGCTCCAAATTTTACGTAGAATCCAAATATGCAATTACATACAGGGTGTCTCATTTAAAATAAGCAAGTTGACGTCTACTTCCGAGTTCCGGTATAGGGAAGAGCCACCATCTTGAAAATATTTTAGCCGAGTTGACTCCATTGAGATTATTATACTGTCAAATTTTCAAAATTTTTCTGCTTACAGATTTTATTAATAAATCAATTTGGTTCTCGGTGGGACACCCGAAATAGGTGCTGCTCAACCTTACTTAGGCAGACTATATATTTTTGTCCTTACAAAAAATTGTGCTCTTCACGAATATAGAATCAAACTCGGAATCAAATATAGGGCATCCCATTCAAAAAAAGTTAAAATTAATATAAAATTTCACATCTGACATTCAATTGGATTCTAAAAATACAGGGTGTTTCAGAAATAGTGTTACAAACTTTAAGGGTGGCTATAACTCATTAAAATAAGACAAAAAGTTCCTATGAATATTGGTCCGGAAACGTCTCGTTTCCGAGGTACAGAAACGTTTTGTTTCCAAGGCATTGGTGCTAGAAATTAAAAAAAATATATATATTTTTTTGCATAATATTTATATTTTTTCAAGATAAATAGCTAAGATTTCTTCGGAAGTTTCGTACACAGCGTATATCTTTTATTCTTTTTCAGAAACAACCATAATCTTCACAATTAATGGAGGGATGTTTTGTCTTTTTTGGAAAACACTACCAAAACTACTTGAGATACGAAAAAATTGCAAGGTACCAAAAACCTTTGCAATGAAACGGAGCAGCTAGTGGCTCAATAAAAATTGGTTGAAAATGTGCTAATAAAAAAATTAGGGTGGTTTTGGGTGGTGTCACCCCTCAAAAAAGACCAACCCCTTGATTTATCGTGACGATTGTGACCATTTTTGAAAAAGAACAAAAGATGTAAGCTTTGTATGAAATTTGAGCTATTTATCTAGAAAACTGAGAAATATAATACAAAAAAACGTTTTATTTTCTTGAATTTCTAGCTCCAATACCTCGGAAACGAAACGTTTCCGGACCCATATTTTTAGGAACTTTTTTTCTTATTTTTATGAGTTATATCTGCCTTTAAAGTTTGTAACACCATTTCTGAAACACCCTGTATAACTAAAAAGCACAACTTTTGTATTTACACCTATTGTCTGTAAAGATAAAGACTCCAGGTGTCAATACATAGAAAATCACCCTGTACATTTTAGGCAAGGGTCTTATTAAGGTAACCGTTTTTACTGGCTCAAGAAGGTTCCTGAGATATCAAGTTTCTGTGCTGTGCCTAATTTTTGTATGAATCCTAATAGATTATCTATTATAAACGTCACCCCCTCCTAACTATAAACGTCACCCCCTCCTAACTTTTTAATTTGACGTATTTAACAGAAGTGTCAAATACAAGAGTTTTAAGAAATTGTTAAAAGTTTTCAACTAAGTCAGTTTTAAGCATACAGGGTGTGTCGTGGGGTGCATTAAAAAAATATAGCAGAACGAAGTTATATTTCTTTCAACGATATAATATGGTTTGATGTGTTTATCTCTCAGCGAGTCTCTCAGTTTATCCTCAAAAGTTATAGGGAAAATCGTGAAAATTCCTTCCTAGGTCTAATGGTATTATTTTTTTTTCATTAATACTAATAACCTAAGAAATCTGCATTTATTATAATATTTCACCTTGTAAATTATTGAATAACATTTGAACATTAAACTGTACTTATATTTTTTCTTTCTTCAACATGAGACCTTTAAAGGGGTTTTCATATTTTTCTCAATAATTATTGAAGGTAGACATATCAAACCGTATATCGTTGAAATAACTCAATTAACTCATAAGCGCTAAGCGCACAATATACATGGTGTTCCATTTCAAAGAATATAACTTCGCACTGCTACACTTTTTTGACGCACTTTGTATGCTTAAAACTGACTAAGGTAGTTTGATAATTTCTCGAAACTTTTGTATTTGACATTTTCGTCGAAAAAAACATCAAATTAAAAAGTTACGAAGGGGTGAAATTTATAATAGATCACCCTGTATTCTCAAATGTAACAACTTTTGAGGTTCCTAATATACAGGGTGTCCACTTAGTGCGATATCGGATGATATCTCCTTACAGGGTGATGCAAGAAAAAATTAAATTACAAAGTTGTTTGATACTCTAATATGCATTAGTTAAAAATATTTTTGAATATACAGAGTGCTTCGTTTATGAGGTATGCGACAGAACTTTGTTATTTCAACACCCTGTATGTGATTGCATATTTGGATTCAATGTAAAACTCTGAGCAGATTTCATGTAATATATCCTATACCTAAGTTCAACTGTTTTGGAAATATTGACAGTTGAAAATTGACTTTTTGCAACTTTGACAGGCTGTAAAACCTGAACGGTTATTTTTAGACGAAAACCGATTTCACATTCCTATCTTAGATTTTCATAAACTATTATTTGACACCAACTTTGAATTTAATCGGAGATTGAATTTAACTGGAATTTTTAATCATGGATTAAATTCAAAGTTGGTGTCAAATGATAGTTCATAAGAATCTAAGATAGGAATGTAAAATCGGTTTTCGTCTAAAATTAACCATTTAGGTTTTACAGCCTGTCAAAGTTGCGAAAAGTCAATTTTCAACTGTCAATATTCCCAAAACAGTTTAGGGTATATGACATAAAATCTGCTCAGAATTTTACGCATATGCAATCACATACAGGGTATTTCATTTAAAATAACAAAGTTCTGTCGCATACCCCATAAACGGAGCACCCTGTATATTCAAACATATTTTTAACTAATGCATATTAGAGTATCAAACAACTTTGTAATTTAAATTTTTTTTCTTGCATCACCCTGTAAGGAGATATCGTCCGATATCGCACTAAGTGGACACCCTGTATGTATATATATTTTTTTAATTTTAAGGTGCTGGAAATGATTCAGAAGTGAATTCTGATGAAGACTCTAATGATGCAAATGCTTCAGATGAACAGCCAAGTGATAGCGAAGATGTTTCAGGAGAAGAATCAGAAAATGAAAATTCTGAAGCTTCCATTGACCTATCCGATACCGAAGATACCAATTTCCAACATATGACTGAAACCAACGTTTCGGAGCAAGTCAACAAAGGCCTTTGTGTGAGAAATCAAATGAACATCTGGGAAAGTTTATTAGAAATGAGAATACAAATGCAAAAATCTTTAGTTGCTGCCAATAAGTTGCCCCAAAAATCTAAGTTCAAAGAAGTGCTTTCGGACACTGATTTTAAAAATAAAGTTAAAGAAACTAAAGATAGTTTGGGAAACGTCTTGGATAAGTTTTTGGATTTGCAAAACTTGTTAATTAAAAAATATCCCGAAACGAAGAGCTTAGGGAATAATTCTAAAGTTGAAGTCCAAGTAGAAAGTGATGAAGAAATTCCTAGCGATACTGAAGATGAAGTTGAGGAAGAAAGTGAGCAGGAGGAACACCCTCCTCCACAATCATCTAAAAAAAGAAAACTCGATGAATATGAAAAAGACATTTCAGACTTGCATAATAAATATAAAAAATATAGAAACGAAACCATAGAAAAATGGAATACAAAAACTAGACTATCCACAATGAAAACTTCTGGTCCAACACTCTCTGTAACTAGTCAAATAGAGCACATTTTAAGTGATAAAGAAAAACTAAGGAAAAGAACGCAACTTAAAAAAAGCGAATTCAAAATATTAGGCCAAAAAGATAGTAGTGAGAGTATTTTGGAAAGTAATGAAGATAATGGAGATGTTAAGCAGGCAGAGGAATATAACTCTGAAATATTTGATGACAGCGATTTTTATCATCAACTATTGCGGGAATTAATTGAAGTTAAATCAGCAGATATCACGGATCCTGTTCAGTTGGGCCGACAATGGATTCAATTGCAAAATTTAAGAAGCAAAATGAAAAGGAAAATTGATACTAGAGCAACAAAAGGACGGAAGATTAGGTAGGTATACATTTGAATTATTTATATGATCCCCCAAATAGATATTTTTCTTGAATCTTTTTATTGTGGACAATTTTATCTGTTGACCCATAATTCAGTTTGAAAAGATATCAGATAATTTTCTTTATATGTTTTTGATAAGGGATTGAATTCTCTTCAAAATGGAGTCTCACATACATTACATAAAATGATAACTGAGCTATAACCAGTTTAATGGCCGGTATTGTCGTATCTAGGATAATAGGGCATCTCCCTTCGGTTAATTAAACCCAATCGTCTCCCAAAAAAAGTTCATCATTGATCACGTCACGTTTAAATAACATTCGGTTATAGGTTGAACGAATTATTCAAATATATGAGGAACCTGAACCCATGTCAACGACGGTTCACCGGTAATTGTTATAATCAGCGATCACGCACCAGTAGGCCAGTCAATGAGGCTTCGGAATTAACAATAATTGCGAACAATGCGAAATTTAGGATTTACGTTTTGTATGACAAAAAAATGAACTATAAAAATGTGCACCTTCCAGTGACGTGCAAAACATTGTTTTTTTTTGTAAAAATTAAACAATTATTAATTACTTCTTCCCATTGCTAACAAAGTGCAAATTTACAAAAACGCGACGACTGATTTTCCAAATCTTGTATTAATTATTAATTTTAATAATTTTGCACCTTTTTTCATTAGGCGGAACACAATGAAAAATTGTTTATTGTTGAAAAATATTATATCATTTTCGGAAAAAATGCTAACAAGGTGCAAATTAGGATGATGCACCGTAAATGCCAAACAATTAATTGTATAAATTTGCACCTTTCAATCTCCTCCGGAAATGAGCGATTCGCATCAATATAACATATCATATGTGACAAAACACCATTATTTGGGGGGAAAATTGCTAACAATTCAAAAACTAGGTGCAAATGTTCAAATTGATTGACAGAATGTTAAGCAACATTTATTTACATGGAGAAAATTAAAAACAGGGTGCAAATCAAAACAGCAATTCTAAATATTATTTCAACCCTTACTTCGAGTTTGCACCCCTATATGAAACACGGAATAAGAAATATCACTCAAATAATATTTACGCTGTGCCGCGCCACAGATTATTTTTAATATTTTAAACAAATTCTGTAGATAAGTTACCTGTTCGGTTTTTAGCAGTTCGCTGTTTTTTGGTCAACTTGAGCTAGTGTGCTGGTTTTAATGTACAAAAAACCCTCATAAGTACATCATTGAACCATTATTATCAATGACCTATTAGCACAGATAGACAGAACAATAAACAATAATATCGGTTGACTACATGCCAAGAACCGCATCTCTCCCCACTACTTATTAATCCTTGTGTTATTTTGTATCTTTCTCTAACTCGTGGAAAGCGATTATTTTTCAATGAAAATTAGCAACGCTGCAAAAAAATAAATCCCACCTCGAATTCCACCTTTCCACCAATCAGCGGCTTCTATTCAATTGTCATGTCAAAATGCGACGAGCAGGTATTTTATTATAATTTCCATTTGTCAATCAGTGCGCAGTGAGTGTATCCGCATCTTTTTCTAAAATTATGTAAAATATAAGGATAAAGATACACTTTTGTAGCACTAATTCTGGTTTTATTTTCAGAGTTGCGATAGTAAAATGGGGGCGGAGTTAGCGGAATCATTTGAATCCCTACTTCTAGCCGCTTTCACAGCTCACCCCCCCCTGGCCCATAAACATGTAGTCAACCAAAACAAAGCTATTTTATCAATGGGATGTTCTGTGCTACGTTTTTTTTGTTAATATGAATAAAAAGTGAAATGTAATTGAAATTAATTGAAATTATGAAATTAAAAGCTTTGGTCTATTGGATGTCTAGGACGTTGCAAATTTAGCCCTAGCTCAGAAATTAAATACGGAGAGTAGGGGTGGGTTATTTTTATGGGCGCCACTGACCTTGGACAGAATGGCCAGTATTCTCCAGGCTGTTGGCTGGACCCAAAGACCAAGATATTATGATATAGGCAACACAAAATAAAAATAAAATATTAAAATAAAATAGAATAATGAAATAAAATAAAATAAAATAAAATAAATAAATAATTAACCAGTGAATATTCAGTCCAATCAAAGTAACGCCACTGGTTGGAAGTCAAGAGTGAGCTTCCAGAGTCAAATGAAACAACTATATATTAAGATTCAAGAGCTGAATTTATTTAATAAAAAATACAGTAATTGCTCGATAATTTGTCAGCAATATTCAGATAAATGAATTAGGTAATTATCGGTTGTTCAATACTCAGGTAATAAATATGAAGAGTCAACAAATCAGTTGAAATTAGAGATGTAACGTGAAAAATGAAAAAAAAACAATCCGTTTTTTTTTTGTTTTTTTTTCAAGTTTTTTTTCATGGTTTTTTTTCAAATGGTGTTTTTTCAGATTTTGTGTTTTTTTTCTAAACTTAGCACCATATGCGCATTTTTTACTTTTTTTGCCAATTAAACTTTTCTTGGGACAAAAAATTGGTTTAAGCAGTGAAATATGGATATAACGTAAAATATTGCCTTATTCTATATAGAAATAACGTAGGAACAATATTGGGTCTGTTTCTGCAGAAATCACAAACCAGTCAGAGCGAATTCCATTGGTTGAAAACAGTCAGAAACAGTGAGAAAACTAATTTCAACCAATGAAATTAACTCTGACTGGTTTGTGATTTCTGCAGAAATTCACCTGTTCTTATATAAATGAAACATGTTTTCAGGTCAGGTACATGGTACAGCCATGAATGAACTATTATATTATATCAGATCATACATTCATCATATTCATACAACATACATACTAGAACAGAACATCACTGATATGACACTTTCGCTGTATGAAGAATTTTCAGACTGTAACTACGTCTCCAGGGTCGTCAAATATCCGTTTTTTTTTTACTTAAAGATGAGGTTGGAGATACTCACGAAGTTTAAAATTGAATTATTTTGATAAAAAACACTAAAAATTGTTTTTTTTTCTAGTTTTTTTTTTTCAAACATTTGAATCATTTAGAAGAAAAACAAAAAAAAACGTTTTTTTTCTGGTTTTTTTTCAATGTTTTTTTTCAAATCTGAAAAAAAACCGTTTTTTTACATTAGTTGAAATTAAAAACTGTAGTTCAATACCAAACTCAAGTCAGTTGAACAATATGAATTAAATGCATAAGCAATAACGTAATACCTCAATTAAACGTAAATTTTCATAATAAGCACTTCAGTTAAATAACGGTTAAATCCTGTAATAAATCAATAACCCAACCTAGATATTAGTAACTATTGACTTCAATTCGGATGTAAAAAAAAACTAGAGTTATTTAGGCATTAGTTTAAAAATTACAAGAGCATTCCGGGTTCAAGTCAATATAAAATAAATCAGTGTCAATAATCCAATATATCATATAAACCGGTTCGTTAGTATACGCAATATTACTACCTTTGTGATATCACTATGGTTTACACCTTCAATTAAATTGTTATGGAATTATGTAACAGTTAATTGCTAGAATTTGGTTGATTATAACCACCTATTAAATCTAAATATTGGGTTTGGATCTAGTTATTGCAGTTCAGATAAGGTCAATGAGGTTATGAAAAGTGCAACTAAATTAATTATAAATGGAATTTACGTTAATTAAAAAAAATGGAATTTAAGTCAACTGGTTTGAGGAAAATAAATAGATAAGCTTGGTAATATGTTGTTGATCAATTGACAACCTGACAAATATTATCAACACAAAAACTAAGTTACTAAAGGTACAAATTTAAATTTATAAAAAAAAGGTAAGAGAATGAAAGATAAAAAGGTAATAATTATGATCAATTGTTAAGTTACGATACCACAAAACAGCTGCAGACTTCTTGGTTCTCACTCAGAACTTGATGATTTGAGTAGGTCTCAAGGATTGGCTTTGAGAGACCGGTTATTGGTGGAATCCAATTGATGGGCTTGAATTTCTACCAAGCAGCAGTTCGGTGGGGTAAATGGGACCGTAACGTAACTCTCAAACGGAGAGAAAAGCTCAGATTGGAAAAAAAAACCTCTCCCACAGGGTTTTTTGGCAAGATAATGGTACTCAGGTCTACGGTACCAAAATGGCTTCCACTTCCAGGCACAATTGGTTCAAAATCTGTACAACGACGATTATAAGTTACAGATTCAAAGGCAAAAACGCAACAGATAAGCACTGTAACTTAATACTTGTGAGATGCAGGGTTCAAATTCCCGAAAAGGGTAGACTTAAAGGCAAAGGTAACTATTTAACCCTGATCTCTTTTCCAATTGAAAGCTGGATGTAAAAAGAACACCCTTCTTGCGAAAATTCTGCAAGTCACCTCGCATAGCGAAATGATGTACTTGACATTGAAATGTATAAAATTTTGGCCAGGAATAGAGCAAAAATATGACAATCGATACTGATTCTGGAAATAAAATATTTTGCCAAGGAGCTATGGAAGGAGTTAAAACGTGCCAAAAACCATTACCAACTCTAGATATTAACGAATTGGACAGAACTAAATTCTCCTATTACCTGGACTGCGCGCGTCGCTTGTAGGCTGCAGGTGAGCATCCAATGAGAAGCAAGTTTGTGACAGGCTTGCGTCATATTCTTATTCAGGGGCCATTTCAGAATGAATCGTTCCTTCTTTCTTTGTAACGTGTAATTTGACAAAGAGCAAACTAATACTTTACATATTACTTGAACTCACCGCAGTATCGTTTAAGGTTTTGTTAGATTATACTTGACATATTCCTTGGCAATTTCATTGAATGATGTTGCCGGATGAAACATTTATCAAAATAAAAGTGCAAACGATGTTCATCCAGTTTAAAGCTCTTCTTTTGTCTGATTTAAGGTGTTGTAAAACACTTGACACTATATCACTTCTTTAATGTTATAATTTTCGATTTGTATTGTCTACATTTGTTCTACAACAATACAATCTGGCTACACTGCAGCCTACGAGT